TGATCAGCCTGTTCAGTCTCTTCCTGTCCCCGGCAGAGATGCTGCCATCCCAGCAGACCACACCGTAAAAGATGGCTGAGGCCACCACGGAGTCATAGAAGGTCTTTAGAATAGTAAGATGTTCTGGCTTTGCAGAGGGCTTTCTTATAAAGCAACAAACTATTTCTCCAGGCTAAATGATAATTCTCTAAATTTGTCACATGCCATTTCCTCTCCAGCTTACGGGTTATCTGCTTTAGGCTATGCGTTTGAGAATTATACCACGGAGTCAGGTACATCTGTTTTGAGGCCTTAGTTTTCACAGGAGCTATCCAGAGTCGTACGTAGTGAGGAGGTAAAATTATTAACAAGATAATCGACCTCCGTTGGGGTAGCGTTCAGGTAGCTGCTCTGCTCTATGTTGGTACAGGTCATTGAAGATGATAACAGTGAGTGGATTATATTCTTAAACTTAGTTACAGCGCTTTCAGAAAGACATCTACTTTGATAAAGTCTACTAAAGTCCACCGCTGTGGAATCAATTATTGTAAATGTAAATGTTATCAGGAAATGATCAGACAGGAGAGGGTTTTCAGGAAACACTGTTAAATGTTCAGTTTCTATTTCATATCTTAACACAGTGGTTCCCAAACCTTTTTTTTTCTAGGCCCCCCTTGTTTTACAAGACAAATGTCCCCCCCCCATGCACACACACACGCACACACACACAAACACATCCTCCAACCACACACACCCATATTTTTCTCCATTGCGGTTTATTTCACACCTCAAACATTTAGCATTTAGTAGACAATTAAGTAAATACAAGTAAAAAGCAATAAATTACAGGTAGTAAGAAAATAAACTACTAACTCATTTATGCTACATTCACACCTACACGGGTATTTTTGAAAACGCAGCTGTTTCGTCCACACGTAAACGGCGTTTCGAATCACCGAAAACTGCGATTTTTTTTTTTAAAACTCATTTTTTGCGTTTACGTGTGGACAAGAAATACAGAGTTCGTCACTCAATGTCAAAGGTATGTGCATTTTTTCACATCACGCTGTACGTCACATTATTGTTTACATGAGATGAATTGCAGACTGGCAGATAGTCAGATTAACAGTATTTTGTCGCTATCTTCAGGTTTTACACGCTTACATACACACACCCAGTTACTGTCCCTCCATTTAGAAAGGCAGAGGCGTCATGGTGTAATTATTTTATGTGTAGTTGTTTTTTTCCTGTGTAATAATATTCAACATTGCTATCAATACATTTTTCAAAAAATGCCTTTCTGTGGAAATTGGTTTAAAAACATAAAAAACTGTGGGATACTGTTTGTCCTTGATTTGAACCGAGGGAACAAATCGTGGCAGGATCAGCCTAATATTATTTGTATCCCACGGTAACTTTACTGTATAAAGACCTAACATCTCCAAAATGTCAGGAGTAGTTAGTCAAGGCAAGGCAAGGCAAGTTTATTTGTATAGCACAATTCAACAACAAGGTGATTCAAAGTGCTTTACAGAGACATTAGAAACAAGAACAAATAAAAAGCATGATTTA